TGAAGTTGACCAATTGTTACTATAAGCAATTAATGATTATAGATGATCTGCACCTTTCCACTCCTTTTAACCAGTAATCTTTCAGGGCATCATCTGCAGTTGGTCGATCACAAGGATTTTAAAGAAAGAGAAAAATTAACTCTAGAAAAAAGGTTTCCAACCATCCAGATATCATTTGCTGTTTGACATAAATCTTCTCCATCTCTATATTCTGAAGCTGCAATATTTAATGGAAGTCTATAACAATAATTGCAATAATTATTTAGTCAATAATGTTTAACTACCATGCTTGAGTCAATTCAATTAGTCTATTACTACTATACCTTAATTCTCCAATCTTGGCAACTTCTTCAAAGTCAATTAATATCCAACTATCATTTGTAAGTCTTTTAATATTTTCCCAGAAAATATCCTGATGGACAACTTTCATTTCATGAAGTTTTTTTACAATTTCAAGTATATTAAATATGGTGGTTTGCAGCTCATCTTCATTTGTAGGAATTGCTTCATATCCAATTCTAAATATACCAAGTTTTTGGTAGTTTTGTAATTAAGTTTCTTGTATTGTCCTAAGTGTGAAAAAATATTATAATAAAATTCCTTGTGGAAATCTATATCAGCAATGAAACTCTTGTTTATTTTTTTGATGATTTTTTGGGGGAGTAATGTAATTGTACCATTTGTTTGTTGGATTACATCAAATAACTTTAATTTTGGAGTTTGTAAATATTGATAATGATTCAAAGTTTGAAAATTTTGAATAAAATTGATTGTATATTGAAGTGCCATATAATTGTATAATCAATTTTGAGTTCCAAGTGCTAGGAGGGTACCAATTTTCTTATGTACTGGTTTATTGTTTATGTTGTCCACATAATAATAATAAAATTGCAATTTTGTACCAGCTGCTGCAAAAGCCATGATAAATGGTAATCTACCAAAGGCAAGTGGGTTCCAAAAATCAAAGTATTCATCTAAGTCTTTTTCTGCATCTTCCAATCAATAATTAACATCTTTCTTCTCACCAATCATTACAAGCACTCTATTATAATAGATTGTGACATCTGGTCGAACTCTCTTATTTTCTGTGGTAGTAGTTGTAGGTTTAATAACCTTGTTATGATTCCAATCGAAATTACTACAACCAAGAGCATACTCTTGGGCAAGATCAATCATATCCATAATGTGGTTATTGATAGTATTTGAAGTATATGCTTCTCCACCAACACTTTCTCTAAAGGACTTGCCCATGACATTAACAAGGATACTAGATATCCTAGGAACATAAAAAGGATTTGAATATACAGATTCAAGTTTATCAGGAAAGTTGTCAGCACAACTGGGAAGAGATGGCAATTTAAGTAGTAGTGGTTTTGAAAGGAATTGTTCAAGATTATTACAACTAATTTCCTCATCAAAAGGATGCAAGAGTTTTCCTAGGAAATCCATTGTGTTATCTAAATAGTTAAGTGACAAATAATCATTATTATAATATGTGAGTCTGTGAAGGAAAAAAAGAATATTAACATTAAAGATCAAATAAAAATTATGCTAAAGCCTAAAAAAACATATGCATAAAATCCAGAACTTTACCTTCAAGTTTTATCTTTTTATTTGATAAGTCAGAGGCTAAAAATAATGAAAAAAGAATAATTTGTCAAAAAAAAAAGTTAGTAAAAAGTATAATGAAAATAAATAAACAAAATAGAATGAATGGAAAATAATTTTTTTATATTTTTCTACACAATTTGTTCATTACCTTCTTTACCGAAATTAACTAAAGCATTTTGCAAATTCAATTGGTGATGTTTTTATAATGTTCCAATACAAGGTGGGATTATTTACCTTGTTTTAATGTCAATGAGAGAAAAACAAAGACTTATAAAACATATTAATATCCTTGAATTTGTTCAAAACTCAAACAACATTTTTTTATTGATAAGTAATGATCATTAATTATGTTTGCATAAAGGAGAATTTTCTTTGTAGTAAAAAAAAATTGTAATAATAAAATTATTTTCCTTCCAAGGGTTTCTGCTTTTTGTTAGATAATAGCACACTTTCCTAATGTTTATTATTTTTCTTTCTTCTTGGTAAATTTCATAAGTAATCCTTTCTTTGTCTAAATACATTTGCAAAGATTTGGTATCTGCTAATTTAAAAATGTAAGGAGCAATTTTTTCACCTTGTTCTTTCTTCAGAATACTTCTGATAGTACTATAATTCTTTGGTTCCATAGTAGATCTGATGTAAATTAGCTTCATATTAACTATTTTTATATAGAGGTAATTCTATATATCAAGAGGATAACAAATGGAAGATTTTAATAATCACATTACTAAATTTTGATCCCTGAAATCTTTGGTAATACCAATGTTCACTTTGTCTGGTTTTGTTGCAGTATGCCCCATATAATAGATATATATAGCATTGTTATTGAAAATCATTGACATAAATAACAAAAATCAAAATCAATTCGTGTGAAGGAATGACAAAAGAAGAAAAGAACAAGCAGAACTGAATGAGAGAAATGTGTTTATCATAAGAATGATGGTTATCGCCACTTGTCATCACTCTATAACTAAGACAAGAAATGAGTAAGTGTTATTATTAATTATTATTAAAAGGAAAGGTGGCAATGGTTGTGGTTATTATGCATGATTCGTCATTCTAATTGATTTTTAATTTTTAATTTCTTATAAATAATGAAGATAAATATTCACAATGCATTTAATATATGAGGGAAATGAGGTCCCTGGGCTACTGGATATGGTCATAATAAACATGTGAAAGAGGATAGGCCCAAAAATTTCAGAGGTATGTTAAAATGGATATTAATGCAATGGATCATAAAATGCAACTGTTTTACACAATAAATCATTTCAACAAATTGACCTTCCTCTTTATCATCTAGATCAACAAGAATCAATAGATTCATTGATTTTTTATCTCAATAATTGCTATGTTTACTTGCCAAAACTCCTCAGAAATCAATTGGCAGAGTTTCAGCAGCCATTAAGAGGTTTCAGTAAGCAACCTTAATCATTACTTATATTAAATCCTTTAATAAAGAAAAATATCATTAGCATTGGTCAATTAAATCAAGCGATCCATGCAACAATATTGTTACCGGAATTAGATTCTGACGAAGATATTTTGGACGAATCTTGTAATTCCGGGTCAAATTAATTCTAATTCTATTTTTATTTATTATTTATTTTTAATTTCATTTATTTATTTTTATATTTATCATTTTTTATTTTTTTATTTTTTATTTTCTTATTATTATTGTTTATACCTGTGTTACGTTTCGTATAATCATTTATTATTATTCTCATTAATTATACAATGGTTTATTGTTACGCGGATACCAAAGTAATAATAACTTGACATTAATTGTTGGACGGCCATCAACATATTATTATTATCTTTATTACAATTAATGGTGTTAGTAATAACATTAACAGAATCTGATTTATTATTGTTCCTCATATGTAAAAAAATAATGTGTTGTTGATTTTTTAGTTCTTTTATATTCATCGTACCAATGATCATGTATTCTTTTTTTTTGTTCAATGATTTGTATAAATTTTTAATTTGTTCAGTAACAGCAGCAAGCAAAAAATCTTCCTCTTGAGTGTTCTATATATAAAATTCATTATAATGAGGTCCGAAAGCATGTTATACAGATCCATACCGATATAGCAATAAAAAATCTAATTATAAAGCAAAATGATTTTCAAAAAAAGAAAAATATATATGAATGAATGAATGAATTTATTCACACAATAAAAAAAATTCTTTTTACTCGAATGATTAAAAATCCACTTTTGAACAATTTAAAATAGCACCTGACGCCTACCAATAACATGGTCATGGTCTGTCAAATAAAAATTTCAATAATTATTGACTATAAAAATTAATAATTAAATTTGTTACAATCGTATTACTAGCGAGAGCAAAGTTTGACTGTAGAATTGAGATTGACATTTTAATTTTTATTATCATCAAATCTATTAAATAAATTCATAGAATGCCTCTATATCTGTAATTCTTGTATCTGGATTAATTCCATCAACTCATTATATCAACATTATTTATTGCTCATAAAAAATCTTGATCATTTTCACACCATAATAAAGTTTACTATGAAATGTTTGGTCTCCACAATTATTTTAAAAAAAAAAATTTCATATATTAATTAGTATAAACCATACTTTGTTTAAAATAAATGATAGTATAAAGACATACCTTAGAAAGCAAATTGAACACGATTCTGTAATATTTATAATAATAATATTTAGGCATTTAATTTATCTTTGCACGCACTAACAAATTTATATATATATGTGAATACAGTCAAAATTTGACTTTAAGGCTGAGATTATTTTCGGTTTTATTAACAACTTGCTTCAAAAACTTTTTTAAAGCAGCTACATATGATAAGAAGTTATATATCAAATTTGGTGGCAATTGCTATACGGAAAGGGTATCAAAACGAGGGTATGAAGACATTCAATTCGAAATTTTATTAATAAAAAAATTGTGTAGATCATCGGAAATTTTTCGGAAAATAAATTTGCCCTTGTACTTGTACTTAATTTTTAGGGCATGTCACACGACTACTACTATTTTATTTTCGTTGCCTTATAAGATTAGATTAGAAACTTTAATTATTAAAGTTTTTTTCTAAAATATTATTCATGCATACAAAATTTAACGTGCATATTATTAACATATATGTAGAATGAAATCATTCATCAGTAATTAATTCGTGGGAATAAATAATCCGATCAATCTTTACCAATTTAATCAGATTTATATGAAACATCTAATTTTTATGAAAGTAAGAGAAGCTCCCCCCTGAAATTATTAAAAGTATAAGTAGGCTGGAAATAAAATTTTTGATTAAAAAAAATTTTTTATATAAATTAATTAATTACAATACTTTTTAACTAAATGTCTGCTATACTTGGAACTTTTAAAATACCAGAAATTCATAATGAACCATTGGTAAGTTTATTTATTTAATTATCTTACAAAAAAAAATTTATTATTATTATTATCAAACCTAAATCAATTAAACAAACAATTGATCCAATTTTAATTGATATTTATAATAGAGAAGTTATCAACCTGGTAGTGTTGATCGAGCTAAGCTTATTGAAGCTTTAGATGAATTAAAGGCTCAGGTTCCAATAGAAATTCCTGTTTTTATAAATGGTAAAAAGGTAATAATAATGATAATAATAATAATCTGATTCATATAATCTTTATCATCATATCCATTCTTTTCCCTGATCACCATCATTACCATCTTCTTCTTCATTATCATAATAATATAATCATCATCATCATCATCATTCTTACTGAAATAAATAAATATATGTATATATGTAGCATTTTACTGGCCATATTCAAGAACAGAGAGTTCCAACAGATCATGCTATAGTATTAGCAAAAACTCATGAAGCAAATCCAGAACTTATAAATCAAGCAATTGAGGGTGCACTAACAACCAAAAAAAACACTTGGGAAACTTTATCATTTACTGATCGATCTGCTATATTCTTAAAAGCTGCTGATTTAGTTGCTAACAAATACAGATATAAACTAATGGCTGCTACTATGCTTGGCCAGGGTAAAAATTCATGGTAATAATATAATTATGCTGTTTTTTGTTTTAGAAAAAATTTTAAGTTGATAAATTATATTTATTTATTTTATGTATTCATTTTTTAATGAAAGGCAAGCAGAAATAGATGCAGCAGCAGAGTTAATTGATTTTTGGAGATTTAATTGTCAATATGCACAAGAAATATATCAACAACAACCACCTAAAAATTCACCAGGAGTATGGAACAGATTAGAGTATAGACCACTTGAGGGATTTGTTTATGCTGTTACACCATTTAATTTCACCGCAATTGGTGCTAATCTTGCAGGTGCACCAGCTTTAATGGGCAATGTTGTACTCTGGAAACCTTCCCCAAATGCCGTTTTATCAAATTGGATAGTATTGGAGATACTTAGAGAAGCAGGACTTCCTGATGGTGTCATACAATGGATTCCTGGCCAACCAGTGGAAGTTACTCAACAAGTACTGAAATCACCAGAATTTGCTTCATTACATTTCACTGGATCAACTTTTGTTTTTAAACACTTGTGGAAGGAAATTGGTAATAATATTGACATTTATAAATCATATCCAAGAATCGTTGGAGAGACTGGTGGTAAAAATTATCATTTGGTGCATAAGTCGGCAAATGTTCCGAATGCTGTTCATCAGACAATTCGTGCAGCTTTTGAATATCAAGGTCAAAAATGTTCAGCTTGCTCTCGTGCTTATATACCCGACACTTTATGGGGACAGTTTAGCAAATTGTTGTTAAGTGAAATTGATAAAATCAAAGTTGGCCCTGTTGAAGGTAATTAACTAATTATTGATT